GGTCTTGGTGGAAGATGGGAAAACAGCACAAATCTTCATTTTTTCCCATCCCCTTCATGCTCTGGGTGACCAGATCTCACTTCCCTATGGGTTTACTTAGGGCAGTGGACACCAAGGTGAGCAGCTCCTGGATCTCCTCTTGGAGAATCCAGGTCTTCTCCAGAGATGGAGAGGGAATCGGCTGTTGAATTTGCTTCAGGGGTTATCAGTGACCAGCATCACAGCAGTGCAGGCCATTAGTCACTTAATCAGCATTAATAGGGCAATTATTATCTTAATAAAGTGCCTGATTGTGACATTGGAGCTGTGGTTGACCAGGTGCAGATGCCCGGCCGGGTTGTGTGTTTGTTAATCCCCAAGGAGGTTGCTCTGTTTCACTGAGCGAGGTTTATTTAACGTGCAATAAGTGTCTTAGTGGATCTCTATTAAAGGCACATGTGGAAACCTTAATTTGAAGCATTACAGAAAAGCGAGACTGTTCAATTCATAAAAAAATATCCTCTTTAAACAGCATGAGCTCCAAAACCCATCCGGTGCCAAAGCAAACTGTGTCCTTGTGCCTTGTGCCAGATGCCTCATGTGGGGTATCCGCAAAGTCCAAAGAAAATAAGGTCTTAAGTTTGACCACTGAACCACCAAGGCAGCCTGTATAAAGGGGCTGCATTTCCACGCAGGAAATATCCTTGGAATGGGGGCTGTAAGAGAGTCACTCTTTGCTGGACCATTGCGCCCGGCAGCAGCAGGTTCTTGGTAACACCTACACTTGGGAGCAGAACCTGGCTCTGGTGGAAAGGCTTGGGAAATGGTCTAAATCCCTCTGAACTGCTAAGCCAGGAGAACCAGTGAATCAGTCAGGACAGTTTACCTGACAGTCAGGTAAAACACACATATAGACATGACACAGAGGTATCCCGAGCCCCTCAGGGGTGGCTCGGCTCCGGATCCAAACTCCCGGGCTCCGCTGCCAACCTCCGGGACCGGGATGGGCCATGAGCTCAGCTTTCCTTCCACCTAAACATGCCCTGTTGGTGCTGGGAGAGGGAGGCAACCTTCTCCATATGAATTGTTCACTTTGGGAAACATCTAGTAACCGGAGCAGGAGCCACACTGGAGGCTCCTGGGAGCAATTCCAGGTCGGTGCGGGCAAATTCCAGATGTCCACAGAGACCCACTGGACAGAGGCTCTTCCTAGGTGCCAATAATCCCAGGCACAAACACCTGGGATCACAAGCCGCAATTCCAGCAATCCTGCTGCTCCCTGAGAGCAGCTTCCCTTCCCTCCCGTGTCATCTCCTTAGGGATGATGATCAGCCAGGCAGGCCCCTGGGCACCATCGAAACGTGGGATAAATATTCCGAGCAGCTTCATCTCTAGGAACATGAGCGGGAGGGAATGAGTTCATCTCCTCCATTCTCCTGGCTGGGTTATTCCTCCATTCCCTGCGTGCTGCAGGCGGGTGATCCGTGGGGAGAATGTTCTGTCCCTTCCCTGGAAGAAGAGATTCATCCAAGTCCCCGATGGGCAGCTGAGACTTTCCTTCCCCCCCCCCTCTCATCCCATGACTCTTGGGGAATATCCAGCCCTTCGCATTGTCCAAAATAATTCCACCGTGCGGAGGATTAGGCAGTTTCGGGATCCGGGGGCAGCCTCTTTCCTTTCCTGCTCTTTGGAGTCGCTTTCTGCCAGCTTGGGGCCTCCAGCTCCTAATGATTCCTCTTGTTTTTCCCTTGGAACAGCAGCTTATTACAGGTTCCTGGTAAAGATATCCATGAAATGAAGGACATCTCTGCTCCTTCCCTGCCTGGGCCATCTGAGACCAGGCAACAGAGCCTGAATAGAGCAGGTCCTCAAGCCCCTGCTCCCAAAGGTGGGTCTTAATGCGCCCTTTAAACCACCCGCAGGCCTCTTAGTGCCACCAATGACTGGAGATGGGCAAGTGATCGCAGGGCTATTGAGATGTAAAACACAGCTAAGAGCTGGTGGTCACACAAGGACCTTGCAGAGATCCCAGAGATGTGGGCAGAAGCAGCCCCCCTTGTGCTGGGGGACCCTCCAGCTGGGGGGAAACGCTTTAAATTCAAAATACAGGGGAAAAAACCTGTTTTGCACCCTGGGGAGGGGAAGAAATTACCACATGAATGCCCTCCAGCAACAGGGATTGCCCACTTAGTGAATCTCCTGGCCTGTGGTGTGAAAAACAGAGGTTAAAACGCTGTTTAATGGTAAAAACTGAAGTTGCCCAAGCCGAGGAGGCAGGAACTGGTATGAATTTGGACCATGTCGTGGATCCAAGTTGTTTAAAAGCCACTTGATGAAAGGTGAATGTTGAACAGGTCAGGGGCCCTTGTCCTGCACTCCCTGGAGACGGGAAAGCTCCGAGGTCATCCAGTCTGTCCATTCCTGGCCCTGGGGGAAGGCTTGCTCCCTCCACTGGATTTTCCTGAGCCTACTCCAGTTTGAAGTGACTCAAGTGGCGGGGCTCTCCGCACTGCTCCTGGGATGGTTTCTTACCATGAGAGCTGTTTTCCAAGCCCTCCACCTGCTCCGGCCAGCCCTGCCTTGGAACAGCGCCGCTTAACCCTTCCTGTGCCATCTCAGTGCTATTAACAATGAAAAAGAGGACGTGGGGAGGGAAAAAATACATTTATTTTTTAATACCGGCCACCCAGGGTGGTGAAAGCCTCCCGTGGTGCTGCAGCTCACTTGCTGATCCAGTTCTTTCCCTGTCCTCTTTCGTTCCAGCTCCATGGAAGCCGTGTTGATTAAAGGAAGCAGCGGAGTCTTTATGGACGGGGAAGTGCTGCAGAGGTGGATGAGCAGTGAGTAACAAGTAATTATTTCAAGTAAAGAGGCGGGTGGAAACACTTAAGGAAAAATGAGAGTGTCTAAGGCCTCAGCAAACAAGTGCAAGGGGGCTTTGAACACAACAGAGGGTTGCAGGGCCTTTGCTCACACAGCAAAGGCTGCTTTGACCCTTCCAAACCCCTTTATTGCACCCTGGAAATGCCTCTCGCTGGTTAACAAGCCTCACTAGGGTAGGGAATGGAGATAATGGGAGCTGCCGTCCCTTGGGAGAGTCCAGGAAGGATTTTCTTCTGTGGAATTTATCTCTGGAAAGAGCAACCCCCGAAACATGGAGCTAACTGATGAACTGAGCCCGGACTAATTGGGGTTTTTAATTGGGGCTTTTCGTGTGCCCAGTGCCCTCAGTTAAGACGTTGGATCCATGGATCTGCTCCTCGTGCCTGTGCTGTGTAACCCGTAGAGTGACTCCAACGCCGGAGTCAGTCTTAAAATATCTGCTGCATAGATGAGTCCTGATGAAATTAGGGAAGGCCGAGTGGATTCCCGCCTTTCCTTGGCCTTCGGGAAGCAGGGAGCCAGGGCTGCCCCATAGGGACCTGCCCCTTCCCGACTTCCCTGCCCCTTCCCGGCCTCCATGGGAGGCTTCGGGAGCCCCGCGTGCCTTGGCTAAGAGGGACATCTAGCGGGATCCGAGCCCATCCCAGCCGTTCTCCCTCTGGAGCGCGAAGCGGAGCCGCGTTCACTCCGGAAGGGCCAGGCCACCCCAGCAGGGAGAGCAGGAGGAACACGGAGCTTTGGCAAAGGGGTGAGCTGCTCCGGAAGCGCTATCCGTGCAACAGGAGCAACACGGGGATTTCTGCCTCCCTGTTTTTTTTTTAATGGAGGAGTAAGAGCTTCTGCGGCACAAAGAGCTTCTTGTGTCTGCAGAGCCCTCCACGGAGCGCTTGCTGTGCTGGATACGGCCGGGATGAGGTCGCTGGGGAGCAGCAGAAAACCCTTGGAAAGGCGGGATGAGGGGGAAAACACCTCTTTTTGTGGGATCCTTAAGGAAAAGTGGATGGCCCCGTTCTCCACATGCACATGGGCTTGGATGCTTTGGGATGAGCTACGTTCCTCCCCTCCTCCGGAGCTGTTCCTTGGGACACTGCTCTCCCTGCTGGCAACGGAGCTATCCCAAACAAACCGGAGTTATCCCCAACAAACCGCTCATGGGAACAGGCGGCCTGGGCTCCTCCTTCCTCCCAGGAGACCCCCGAGAACCCCCCAGGGCTGCTTGGATTTTTCCTTAGGCTTCTGAGGAACAGGAAGGGATTTTCCTGGCTCATCAGGAACCCCCCCTGCCTCTGTTCACGAGTTTGGTGCAGGGAGGGCAGGAATGTGGGTTTTCTCTGACTTTCTCCTCCCCTTTCTATTCCAGGGGGTTGCAGTGGCCTCATCCCTCCCCATGGCAGGGAACCTGCCCCACAACCAGCCTGGAAGAGCCCCTGGAAACCCCACAAAGAACCACACGACCAGCACGTTACAAAAGATCCCGGTTTAATAGACTTGGAGCATCTCCCTTTCACGGACAGTTTTACAAAAGGGGGTATTTACAGGTGAGGAGGCGGCTGCAGAGGGGAGAGAGGATCCACGCGGAGACGCCGCCGGGCTCCAACCTCTTACAAAACTAAGAAGGGCCCCGAAGACGGCGGCTCCGCGCGGCCCGGCTGCGGCTCCCGGCCCCACCGTTGCTGCCTGCAGCGTTAAGGCACCTCGTGGCCCGTGCCGGGGCCGGGGGATGGCCCCTCCGTGTCCCCTGAGGTGAGTGACACCCGTTCTGGATGCCACCGCGTCCCCACAGTGACGGGAACTGGCACGGGAGGGTCGCCTCTAAAAACACCAAGTGTTTTTCCTTCTTCTTTTTCCAATTTGTGGGTTTTTTCATCATTATAATTATTATTATTGTTCCCTATCCCTATGTCACTTGAATGACACCTCACTCAAGCTCTCCCTGGGCAGCTGCACCAACATATCCTGCCCTGGGGAGCCCGGGGGGCTCCGCTCACCCCTCGGTGCTGTTGCCACAGCCCACAATAAACACCCGCCGCGAGGAACAACCGCAGCTACAGGCGCGTGAGGTAGAGGGAGGGTTGAAGTCGCCGGCAGCGGTGGCAGCTCCCGGTGTCCCGGGCGGGCGGCCCGAGCGCCGCGTGTCCCTAGAGCCCCGTCTGCTCCCTGAGCCACTGTCGCAGCTTGGTGAGGCGCGTGTAGACGCCCGGCTTGTTGCGCTGGGCGCAGCCCTCGCCCCAGCTCACCACGCCGGCCAGGAACATGCGCCCGCTGCTCTCCACGCTCACCAGCGGGCCCCCGGAGTCGCCCTGTGGGGCAGCAAACAGCAGCGATGGCCACGACCCCCTGGAACAGCCCACGTGGAGCACCAGGGCTCCGCTCCGGAGCATATCCAGCACGGGAAGCCCATGGGGAAGCTCCGGAGCGAGCGGCACCTCCCGCGATATCGGGGGCGCTTCTCCTACCTGGCAGGCATCCACGCCGCCCGTGAGGACCCCCACGCACATCATGCGCGCCGTGAGCTGCCCGGGCAGCAGCTCGTTGCACACGCTCTGGTTGATCACGCGGATTTCCGCCTTCTGCAGCACGGCGGCACCGCTGCCTGCGGGAACGAGAGCCAGTGAAGCTCGCGCACGCAGGGCGAGACTCACAGCTGCCACTTCTCAACTCACCTCCTTCGGCGGTGGCTCCCCAGCCCGTCACCCACAGGTCCTTGCCGGGGGGGAAGTTGTGGGTGGCGTCGGGCAGGCAGATGGGCTTGACGACGGAGGAGAAGGCGACGGGCTCCTGCAGCTCCAGCACGGCCAGGTCGTAGTCGTAGGTGTAGTCGTTGAAGGCGGGGTGCGCGACGACGCGCTTCACGGCGCGCGCCTGCACCTTGGCGCCGTCGCGCTTGCCCTGGTCCGTGAGGCCCACGTAGGCCGTCCACACCTTGGCGTCGCCGTAGCTGCGAGAGCGGCGGCGCC